CTGAGCCCGTGAGCAGCAGTGAAGAAGCAGCAGCTGTGTTAGATGTGGTAGCTTCCATTAGAAAGGTCACTGACACACATGACAAGCAGAAATGAATGTCAAACTAGAGGTATGTGTGATAATCCTATCTGTCTTTCAAGTCTCAGCTCAAACAGCAGCTCTTTCTGAAGGCATTCCCTAATGTGCCTGCTCTGAAGCCACATGTTATCCTGTGAACTTTGATCCCTGACCTCCTGTCACACTAATGCCATTCTACATGTGCCTTATCTTCTGTCTTAGTGTAAGTTCTCTGAAAGTCTAACTGGTCCAGGACATGTAGCTGGTTAAATGGTGGCTCAGGGACCGGCACCCAGGCCTGTTTGGCTCCAAGTTCAGAAAACTGAAGTCTGTCCATGAAAAAGGATCTGGACTAGTTACACAGGACCATTAAGCTTGAGTGGTGGACCATGTCCTAATTTACCCTTTACCTCAGGCAAATAAGCATGAATGTTGTTAACTGCCTGTCCGTAGTGTTTGCTTGTTTTTCTTTTGGGTTGTTTTTAGGAATCTGTATATTCCAGAAGGTGCTCTGGTGGTGTAGTGAGTAAGGCATTTGGCTGCTAACCAGGCTGGTGGTTCAAACCTCCCAGGTGCTCCACAGGAAGAAGATGCCGTCTGTATCCTTAAAGATTTACAGCCTTAGAAACCCAATGGGGCCGCTATGAGTCAGAATTGAGCCGACGGCAGTGAGTTTCTGGTTTGGGGTATATTCTGGATAAGTCCCTGAGTGGTGCAAACAGTTAACACACTTGTGCTGTGGGAGAAAGACCTGGCAATCTACCTCTGAAAAATCAGCCACCGCAGACCCTGTGGAACACAGTCATACCCTGATACATCCCGGGTTCCTCTGAGTCACAATCAACTCCTTGGCAACTATTTCTTTTCTTTATTCCAGATAGGAAAGTTGGTTGGTTGTATTTGTTGCAAATCTATTCTTCCTGCTTGTCCCTCCTCTTCCTTTGTTGTTGCTGCTGTTAACAGGCATGTCTCCAGCTGACTCATAGGGTGATGAGCTTGTTGAAATCAAGGGATGGGTGTCCTGCCTCATTTCCTGAAGTGCTTCATAGTTTTATTCCTTAGGAGATGCCTACCGATACTAATAGTAAAGAAGTAAGTCAAGAGAATAAACAATGACAAAGCAGTATTCTGCAAACACTAATGTGATTAAATGCAAAGGAGAGTCACAAAGAAAATGCATGTCAGAGCTTAATATGCGCCTGTATCTCCCAGGTGTTAAGCATTAGTTGGTAAGAAAGTGGGCAGGAATTTGCTGAGGCAGCTTCAAGCATCTCTCTTCCTTTTCCCAAGCCCACCAAGGCAGATAACTCACTTGTATAGCATGTGTAACATTGTCAAATTAATATTCCAATGAATTTGAGTTTTAAGTGTATTATACCTCAGAACCAAGCTTGGAAATTCCTGAAAGTGGCATGTTGGGGCCTGATGATTATACCTGAGCTGAACTTAACCAAAGAGTTGCTGCCTATGCCAGATGGGTTAAGAAAAGCAGGAGAACTAAAGGCTTAAATGTGCCTTTCTAGATCTTCCTCAAGCAGTACAAAAAAGTCACAGGTGCTATCTATGCCAGCTCTGCCCATAGTCATCACTGTTAACAGCCAATGGGATGACACAGTGGTTTAAATTATGAGGAGGGACTGTGGTGGCAAACTTCCTGTCTCCAGTCCTACCCCTGCCCTCCCCTTTCTCCCACATTGCTGCCTGTATATTTCTCTGTCTCTATCTTTTAAATTTTATTCCAGCTCCACTAGTTACGATGTAAACTGTGGCAAGTTTCTGTGCCTCAGTTTTGTTCATCCATAATATAGTAATAATAATTCTGTCTACCTCATAGGGTTGTTGTGACAACTGAGAATGAATGCAGAGCATTTAGAATAGAGCCTGGAGCACAGTACCAACCTCACTGCCGTCAAGTCGATCCAACTTCTAGCCCCTATAGGACAGAGTAGAACTGCCTCATAGGATTTCCAAGGCTGTAATCCTCGGAAGGAAGATGGACAATCTACTTCCATAGTGATACCGCCTCGGAAACCCAAGGAGGGGTCGCTATGAGTCGGGTCTGACTCAGTGGCACAAAACAACAATGACACAACAATCTTTATGGAAGCAGACTGCCACATCTATCTCCACAGAGCACTGGTGGGTTCAAATCTCCATTGTTTGCATTAGTACCCAAGTGTTTAATCAATGGCCACCAGGACTCCTTAGAATATAGCAACAAACCAAAAACCCAAACCCACTGTCATCAAGTCAATTCCGACTCATAGCAACCCACACTGGGTTTCCAAGGTTTTAAATCTTTATGGAAGTAGATTGCTTCATCTTCCTCCTACAGAGCAGCTGGTGGGTTTGAACTGCCAACCTTGTGGTTAGCAACCAAATGCCTTACCTACTACATCATCAGAGCTCTCTAGAACATGGCAACAAGAACTTTGTTAAATATTATTGCAAAAGCAAAGCTTGCGTTTTCCAACAACTTTATTAAAACAGAGAGGACTTCTACCCCCTAGCCACTCCTTATCTGTTATTAGTGTAATGTAATTAGGTATTTCCCCTCATACCAACATACTGGGAGGTGGGCAGGGAATACATATAACCATAAGAGATCTACATAAATGGAAGAACATACTATCCTCATGGGTAGGAAGATGAATATTGTGAAAATGTCAATACTACCCAAAGCAATCTATACATTCAGTGCAATCCCAATCCAGATCCCATCAACATTCTTTAAGGATATGGAAAAAACAATCACTAACTTCATATACAAAGGAAAGAGACCTCAGATAAGCAAAGCACTATTAAAGAAGAGGAACAACAAAGTAAAGGGTCTCAAACTTCCACATCTCAAAACCTACTATACAGCCACAGTAGTCAAAACAGGCTGGTATTAGTACAACAGACACACAGACCAGTGGAATAAAATTGAGAACCCACAAATACATCCATTGACCTATGGTGAGCTGATTTTTGACAAAGGGCTGAAATCCATTACAGAGGGGAAGAGATGGTCTCTTTAACAAATGGTGCTGACAAAATTGGATATCCATTTGCAGAAAAATGAAACAAGATCCATACCTCACACCACACACAAAAACTAACTCCACATGGATCAAAGACTTAAATGTGAAATCGAAAACTATAAAGTTTCTCAAGGAAAAAATAGGGGCAAATTTAGGGGCCCTAATTTATGGCATAAATAGACTGTCAAGCATAACCCAAAATGCACAAACAGCTGAAAATAAACTAGATGAATGGGACCTTCTAAAAATTAAATTTTTATGTGCTTCCAAAGACTTCTCCAAAAGAGTCAAAAGAGAATCTACAGATCAGGAAAATTTATTTGGCAATGACATATCTGACAAGGGACTCATCTCTAAAATTTATAGAAAACTCCAACACCTCAACATCTTAAAGATAAACAATCTAATTCAAAAATGTGCAGAAGACATGAATAGACACTTCACCAAAGATGATATTCAGGCAGCCAACAAACACGTGAAAAATGTGCACAATCATTAGCCATTAGAGAGATGCAAATCAAAATAACGAGATAGCATCTTGCCCCAGCACTATTAGCAAAATTCGACAAGACAGAAAATAATAAATGCTGGTGAGGATGTGGAGAGATTGGGACTCTTATACACTGCTGGGGGGACTGTAAAATGATACAGTCACTGTCGAAAGCAGTATGGTGATTCCTTAAAAAGTTGGAATTAGAAATACCATTTGACCCAGCAATTCCATTACTAGGTATATATCCTAAAGAAGGAAGAGACAGGACAAGAACAGATATATGCACACCCATGTTCATCGCAGCACTGTTTACAATACTCAAAAGATGGAAACAATCTAGGTGCCCATCAACAGAAGAATGGATAACCAAACTGTGGTACATACACACAATGGAATACTATGCAACACTAAAGAATAATGTAGAATCTGCAAAAAACCATAGAATGTAGATGAACTTGGAGGACATTATGGTGAGTGAAATAAGTCAGTCACAGAAGGACAAATACTATATTAGTTCATTATTGTAAAAAGTCGAGGAAAGGTTTATATATGGAAGGAAACTTTCTTTGTTGGTTACCAGCTGTGGGAGGAGAGGGGAGGAAACACTCCAAAAAATAAAATAAAAGATACAATAAATAGTTTCATTAAAAAAAAAATCTTTACCCATGAGGAAATTACTACTGTATGTAGTAGTATATTAATGGGATAATTAAAAACTAACTTTTTTTTCCACTGACTATAATAGATACACGCTGGCGGTTCAAACCCACCAGCCACTCCTCGGAAGGAAGGTTGGGCAATCCTACTTCCGTAGTGATACTGCCTCGGAAACCCAAGGAGGGG